TTGGTCCTGGGTAGAGAGAGCAGTGGGTTGGTTCTGACTCAACTGCAAGTCCACTCCCTTGGGACTTTTAGCATCATAATAATAAAGATAATAATAGCTGACACTTAGAAAATGTCTCTTGTGATGTCAGATCACTGTGCCCAGTGTTCTCACAGATCTCTCATCCTTGTGACAGCTCTATGAAGGAAGTACTATGACCCCCATTTTTCAGATAAGTGGATTTTTAGAGTAACTTGCTCAAGATGAAGAGATTAGAGTGGCAGAACCAGGATTAGAGCCCCATCCTTCCTGTACTATTGCCCAGTATCAGGTAGTCTTGACCATTTTTTCTTTGCAAGGTGTAAGAACCCAGCAGTCCCTTGGGACTGCTACTACCTGTTAGGAAGGACATGGCACATGCTGACAGGCCCCACATGTTAAGTACTTCACTCTGCCAGGCTAAGGGTACCTGTCCCATCATTGGGCCCTCCAGCAGCCCTCGTGTGGTAGGGACTGTATTCATCACCTACCACACATTCTCCATTCTCACTAAGCACAACCAGATTGGCCTTGGAATCCTTAAATGCTGCTGCTCCTGCCTGTCTCAGAACTTGTGCACCTGCAGTCCTTTCTACTGGGAGACATTCTTCCCAGGTCTTAACATGTCTGTTTCCTTGATATTCAGGTCCCTCAGCTCATGTCATCTCCAGGGGGAAGCCTTCCATGACCACCTGAAGTGGCCTTCTTACCTAGCCACTGTCACCTCATCCTGTTTACTTTCACTGTGGCACTAATCACTCATGTTCCTTTGTTTATTCTCTCTTCTCACCCTCAGAAGAATATAAGCTCCCTGAGTTCAGAGAGCTTGTATGATACTCTTAAGCAGATCCCCAGCACTTAGAACAGTACCTAGCACATAGTGGGCATATAGTAAATACTTAAAGGAATTCCCATTTTTCAGATGAAAATGAAGTTCAGAGAGGTTAAATGACTTGACTAATGCCATATGGCTAGGAAGTAGCAGAGGAGGAGTAGAGACACAGTGAAGAAGATTCTTCCTGTCATCCCACATGGCTTTCATAGCAATCTCCTGCCTGGCATTCCTCATGGTCTTGCTCCTCATATCTGGTTTCTGTTCACAGATTATGGTGACAAGCTGAATTTGGAGCTGAGTGAGAAATACAAGCTGGACAAAGAGAACTACCCAGTCTTCTACCTCTTCCAGGATGGGGACTTTGAGAACCCAATCCTGTATAATGGGGCAGTTAAGGTTGGAGCCATCCAGCGCTGGCTGAAGGGGCATGGGGTCTACCTAGGTATGCCAGGTTGCCTGCCTGCATATGACGCTCTGGCTGGGGAGTTCATCAGGGCCTCTGGTGTGGAGGCCCGCCAGGCCCTCTTGAAGAAGGGGCAGGACAGCCTTGCAAGTGTGAAGGAGACTGAGAAGAAGTGGGCTGAACAATACCTGAAGATCATGGGGAAGATCTTAGACCAAGGTGAGGACTTTCCAGCATCAGAGATGAACCGGATCACCAAGCTGATAGAGAAGAACAAGATGAGTGATGGGAAGAAGGAAGAGCTCCAGAAGAGCTTAAACATCTTGACTGCCTTCCAGAAGAAGGGGGCTGAGAAGGAGGAGCTATAAAAAGGCACTCCAGGGTTTTCCAGGGTTTGAGGGTGGGGACAGAATTACCTGCTGGCTGTGAGACCCCACTGGGATGTAAGGGAGCAGTGGAAAAAGTGGCACTATACCAGTTATCTGAGCAGGCCTGGACATTGATGCAATGTGACCATGCTTGGGACGTCTCTGTGGCCAGTCCAGATATAGCTGGAACACTTAGTCAGATGGTTTGTGAAATTTGGTGCTATAAAGAGTCTACAGCCCAGGTCCTTGGCAGGTGTAAATCTGATCCAATTAAAGTTACCATGTTTTGGTTAAGTGGACCTGAAGCCATTTAGTTTTCTTTTACAAATTATACTTTGGCCTATGACCTGAAATCTCCTTTGTATCTGTTTAACCTAAACTGGTATAGACTCCACTGTACCAGGGTAACAGACTACTATCCTGGTAACACTGGAAACTGGTCCTAGGACAAGGCCTTCCTTTCTTACTTTCCTGACTTACATTGCAATTATCTGCAATGGTAAAGCTTCATAACATCCCCATTTTTATATTTAATTATTTGAAAATATCAAACTGCAGCTCCAGAAATGTCTAATTGCACCCACACAAAGAAATGTGAAGAGATGGCAAGTAAGGCCTTACATTGTTTATGTTCCTCCATTTCAGTCACACGGGTGTTTTCGGTTATTGCAAACAAAAGATGCAGGAAAATTCATGTGCTGAATTGGATGGAATGAAAACAGTTGTGGAACCATAGGCTCACAAGTCAAACCAACAAGGTAAAAGATGTTGAAACCTAAATGCCTGCCCATAGCCCAGGACAGGTACTTTCAACATTTGAGGAATATGATATATATTTGGCCCAACAATTTCAGATTACCCCTACTCATTAGTTCAATTCTAATTGAAAATTTTGGAAGATATCTTAATGGATGCTTCTCACTGGTAAACTTGGTTTAGCTGGCTGTTCTAGTTTTTTCTCAACTTTCTCAAACAGGATCACTCCAAAAGAACTGAGTATTCACTGTCTTACAGAAATTTGAGTAAGACAAATGGCAGGTAGGGGAAGAATTCTGTAAAAGATCACAGTCCTTGAATGTAATGTCATCTTGATTCTCAATTGAGAGGAATGAACGGTGGCAGTACATACATGGGTGCTTCATTGTACAGGTCTAGGCTGGGTATCATTATTTATAAACCTAGGGTCTTAAGTGGAGGAATGATGGCCTCAGAGGCAGAGGCTCTTCGTACCAGTTTTCACTTAAAGATGGGCCCTGTTTCTGAATATTCAATCTTACCTGATGCTTGTGTCAAATGGATTCCTTCCCCCAAGTTCTTTGCATCTAATTAAATAATGTAGCTCAAATGCTGCTAATCATACTATAATAAAGACTATGGACTTGGCTTCCCAGTATCAAATAAGTATATACAATTTTAAGGGAATTTCCAGGTAACCTGAAGCAAAAGAGCTGCTGGATCCAACCTGAATCCTGTTCTAAGGAACTTGCAAGGTATCTTTAAATAGTGCCAAAAATAATTTAAATAGTCCTTGGTAATTGGTGGCACAAAATAACATTGGAAGTGCAACAGGAGAGCTTTACTGTTCACTAGAATACCAAGATAGAATCTGGGGCTTCGGATGTGGCCATCAAGACTAAGAATGAGATGGTGTTTAGGGTGGGGAGGTGAGAATTGGTCCTGGATTTTATCTCATTTCATCAATACTTAATCTTATCCAACCCTGATCCCTCTGGGTGGCCTTAGATAGTAGCCTTATCTGCAAGAACTACTTTTCTCATATATTAAGTAGCACATTTTCCTGGACCCACTTTTACTGGGATATATGGAAGGTGGAGGTTGCAAAAAGCTCTCCTCAAGCATAAACTGTAGGTTCCCCAGTGTAAGTCCGGGGAAAGAAAATCCCAGGGCAAAATACCTCTTAAAATCCTAAACCACTCAGTCAAAGGGAGAAATAAAGTTTAAAAACCTGTTTATTGCTTACAAACTCCAGTCCGGGGCCTTCTCTTTCCTGCTCCAGCAGAAGCAAAGTGGCCCTCCCTCTCATCTCTCAGGTACAGGGAAGCCCTCCATTGCTCAGGTAATTACCCATTGATATGGAGGTGAACTCTCCATCCCTGAGGAATGATGCAAATACATTAAAGCCATACTTTCCACCTCTGAATGCCTACTGATATGCAGATATACTAAAGCCAGGCGAGATATTATGGAAATGTTACAATTTTACCCATACCCAGTAAAGACTTTTTAAGTATTTGGCTCACAGTTGCCTACCTTCCACTTGTTACTATGAAATAAATGTCTGCATCAAAGCAGTGACTTCTAAAAACATGAAAAAAGGGTAAACCTGAGCCCACCTGTTGGCAAAAATTTAAAGGTGGCAGTGAGGTATATCCGAGTACCCTTCTTTTGTTACAGGGAAAAAGAACATTGGAATGGAGTTAATTCATAACCAAAGCAGCAGGCAAAAACTGACCTTCAGAGCTCAACTAAGGGCATTTAATACAAGATGGAAAGGAAACTAGGAGTGGACAAACAGCTCCTTTTCCGTGTTGTGTGTCCAAATAAACTTTTCATCTCACCCTGTCCGAAATGCCAGTAACTTCCTACTACATTTAGAAATCTCATTGCTTTTACTGGCTATAGAGTCCCAGTTGCTCTGATCCCCATCCCCACTCCACCTTCCCCCTTAATCCCTACCCCCTTTCTACTCCTTTCATTGAGTCCCAGCCACTAGAGCCTCTTCGTCATCACTGGAATGTGCTCTGCAATTCCCTGCCTTGGGGCTTCTGTACTTGCGTACCTTTTCCATGGTTGACTCCATCACTGAGGTCAGATGGCAGGCACCTCCAAGAGGTCGTCTCATGACTCAGTCTATCACATACCCTGACTTAACTTTATTAAACAGGTCTTAATTACAACTAATATTAATTTGTATTGTCCCTAACCCTACCTCAGCCACTACTAGGATAGGGGATCTTGTTTACCGTTCTATCAGAAGAGACTAAAATGGAATCTGGCACATAGTAAATAAGTGCTCAATATGTGTATGTTGAATTCGTGAATGCTAGCATGCAAGGTACCTTTAAACTTCTAGACTAGTGGCCTTGGAGTAAAAATTTTAACTCACTAATACAATTTTCCTGAGGAATACTACAAAATTGAGACAAAATACAACATTTAAAAGTTTGTGGCTTCTAGGAATCCGAACACAAATGAACCAGGCAGAGAAGCCAAATTAAAATGGAAGTGTTTATATAAACCCATCCAGTTTAAAGCATATTTCCTATGCTCCACTTAATCCTAAAGAAGGAAGAATATATACTTCCCACATTAATAAATAACATCAAGTAGGAAGAGTTTCAATAACAAGGCCATAGACATTGAAACTCCTTTTATATTAAAAGTTTAAATGAAAGACAAATCCAGACTGAACATAGTGATTGCAAAATATAATGCAATTTTGAACAATTAAAAGTATGAAAATACACAAAATTAATGGGCAACACTAAGCATTGTACATTTTCCATTATGTGGAGAACACTAAAAATTCATCTACCTTTTATCCACATCAGATAAATGATTTAAACCAAATGTTTGCTTTGGAGAGTCTTAACTTAGGATCTCAGTAGTATAAAAAGCAATTTTTCAGTCTGTAAACAGTAGTCGTGTTTTTTCTCTTTTTTTCTTGAAATATCAACTTACCACACAAAAACAAACAGAACACAACAAAAAAAAAAAAACCCACACAGATCAAAAACAGCAGCAGCAGCAATGGGTTATTTGGGAATTCTCTTCAAATTCCAATGATATACAATTGCTGGAGAGGGTGCTTTTTACTCATGTAAGAATATATATTTTTTAACTGTACACAATTTATAGTGCATGACAGTTTCCAAAGGAACAGATCAATAAAAGATATTGTCCATTTCTGCATAATTTCATTAAGAGGTTGGATCTAATTGAAATGCTACAATTAGTAGGAAAATCCAGCAAGTAATGAAGCATAACCTTGATGTAACATTATGTGTCACTAAAACCAGTAGTGGTCCCAGATGCCCCCAGGCAAGAGACTAGTAGTTAGGTAGACCACTGGAGTCCAGCACTGTCCCTGAGGACCAAGGCCAGCCCACTGAGCACACACATGCTAATCTGATCATTGTTGGTTGACACACTTGTTTGAAAGAACATTTCTATTTCTATGTACAATACTTTTGGCTACTAAAAGAAACATCATTTCAAGAACACATGCCATACACACGCAAAGTTCCATCTAAATAGGCCTTAGTTTTATGAAATTATGATATGTTGTCATTAAATCAAATTTAGAATCAATCAGAATTTTCAATTCATCTGTTCAAAGCAGTTCTTCCGTTTGGGATGGGTGTGAGAACTGTAGCTGCCAATATATATCAGAAAGAATTTCTTGAAATTACTTGATGGGATAGGATTTCTAACATCTTATTTTAAACAGGTAATGTAATTTTCTAAAAATATTTTCTTGGAAGTTTAAACAGATTAATCACCCTATCAAACTGATTTGAGTCAAAGAAAGTCAAAATGAGAAGTCAAGGACAAAAATGCATTTGTTTTGCATACGGAGATTTCCCAAGCGCTCTTTTGGTTGCTTTTTAAAGAAAAAAGGATCACATTTCACTGGAGAAGAGAGTTGTAACGGCTTTTAAGGTCTTCAAGACTAATCCTCTATCACATGCTTGCATTTCCTCAACAAATTCATTTCTTTGCTCTTACAGAATCACTAACTTAAACAGTATTTGAGTAACAAAGCCCAAAAACAGAAGCACAGATTCAAACACAAAAGTTATCAAAGCAATTGTATAAACTGTATAACATTTTCAAGAGCAATGTTTATCTTTTCTGTCAGACCAACCCTTGAAGCTATAGTCTTGGGGAGCTCCAAGTGGATAATGTAAACACCATCCTGGTGGAACTCTCAAGTTTGAAGTACACTGAACGTCAAACCTAATGGACATTTCTTTTCCCACCCTAAAACTTAAAACCTAGGTTAAGTTCTTATATATATATTCCTTCCTTCCCAAACCCCCCACTTAAAAAACAGTAAAGTATTAAATCTTCATTTTCAAGTGCAAATGTGTATATACACATAAACAAGTATATACACATATACTTGAAAATACACATATGTATATATGTAAAAGCATATACATATATATATATATATCTCACAAAACCAATGACATTGGCATTAGACTTGCCTGCATAAATTATGTACACCTCTTTAAAGTGATTCCCATCTTTCCCAAAGATGGATGAAAGAAAGCTAGTCCTGGGCAGGATTACAAGTGGTCTGCACTGCTTGCCCCTCCGAACAGCTGTAAGTTAACGAATTAACTCTCACAGGAACTAGGTTAGAGTCTTGGCTGTTGGACTATTCAGGCAAAATGGAACACCTGTGTCTGAGTGGTGCCCTTCAGTGACAGGTGCTTATGTCAAATTTCATCTGAGACCTTTTCACCTGCCTTGGGTTCTGTGGGAGCCAACCAGCTGAGGAAGCCTCAAAAATGAACTGCTGATGTGGAAGGGCCTGAGTTCAATTACGGTCCCCCTCTACTTTGCTTCCTAAGGCTTAAGGGCCAGACCAAAACACCCACTGCTAATAATAGGGCCATTCAGCTGCTCTGAGGTTGATGCTTTATGCTTAATTTCTATTGCTGCTTTTACAGGACCCCTAACCCCACCAAATGTTTCTGGTGATGGGAGGGAAGAAGAAAAGTGGGGCTCTCTTGTGGCTGCCATATGCATATGAACATGTATAAAAAGTGGTCAAACCCAGATGAGGGTCCTGCTTCTGGTTTATATACAATAATTTAATCAGCTGTATACATTTAATACCTAAAAAATTAATTCACAATCAAAGTCCTTCATGCATTTTATGAGGAAGTTCTGGATTAAAATGATGGTCAACCAGATGTAGTTTTGCCTGGGAAGATGATGTCATTTTCTGTTGTGGAGTCATCAGTGCCTGTGGTTCACACTTCCCTAAATTTTTAGTTTCTTTGTGGTCTCAAGTCTTTTTTTCAGCAGCTCCCCAATTTCCAGAAGCGAGTGCAGATAACTGCTCTGCACCTTCCCTTGCACAGTCTTTGAAAATTTTTTCTCTTCCTACAAATGAGACAACAATTAGTGATCTTGCTCAGAAAGCATTCTCTCAGATTATAGTTCTGAAGACATAAATTACAATCACATTACACCTTTGGTCTCATTGCAAGCTCCATCCAATTTCATAAAATGCAAAGAATGTTAAAGCTCATGATGGATGTATAATTCTCCATGTGATTTTTCACTGACACCCTGTTGCTTTAGCATCATTATTCTTTCAAGGAACTTTGTTAGAAGTTATTATATAAAGTCAAAAAAACAGATTTCTGATTACTAGTTTTCAAGAAAAAGTAGAAAATTATTACTAAGTAGTTTGGACATATAATCACTTATGAGCTGTACAAAGTAGAAAAATTGAGATTTCTGATTATTAGTTTCATCAGGGGAAAAAATTATTATTAATTTGAACATTATCAGTCACTTTTTAAAAAGGTTCAAATTCACCAGCATAATCTTTTCTAGTTACAATACTGACAGGTCTCCCTACATACTTCCACACTGATGAAATCCACAGATCCCAGTGGCTAAACAACTAAAAACAGACCAAAGCTTTCCTAAGGATACTCAGATATGTTAAGTATTTGCTGCACATTTGACCTGTGTTTGGGACCACAAAAAACAAAGGAGACGGAATGTTCAAATATAGAAAAGAGTTTGGTTGAGAACTGGTTGGGTTTACACAAAACTGACAGTATTGCAAAAGCCAGAAGAAACCAGGTAAGCACACCTTATGACCCAACTACTTGAAACCTCCTGTACCTTAGAAATACAAATATGAATAAGAAGGTTGTACAAATACATTCCATTCAATAATGTATGTAAATGAACAGAAACAACCTAAAATATCCAATGGCTGTGGTGAATTCATATTTTAAATACTATACACGTTTAAAAGAACAAATTGACCTCCATGCATTAGCCTAAACAGATCTCTTCAATATAAGGTTGAGTAAAAAAAAAAAAAGCTTCAGAATAAAACAGTATATCATTTACCTTTTAAAAACTCAACAGATATTGGAGTACATTATAAAGTTACATTAAAAACCTGATGGTTTAAATAAGATACAAATAATACTGTTTATTTTCTCTCTGAGTATAAAACGAGTCAGGGTGTGGGGCAGGGCGGAGGGGGCAACTGTCTTGGCACACAACCAGCTTCAGTGGATACTCCTAGAGAAGAGGAAAGGGGACCAGGACTGGAGGAAGTCATCTGGCACCCTTATTCACAGTGTTTTAAGTTTAGAAAGAAAGTAAGGGAAAAAAAAGTGAGCCTAATGGAAAAGAAGAGATTTTCTTTTTAAACTAAAAGACAAGTACTCAGTATGACATGGATCCTGTATTTGGTGGCAATGCTGCTCAGTGTATGTATCATGACTTTAACCAAAGTAAGCAATATAAAGCTATTACTGAGCTGTTTAATCCTCACTATAACCCTCTTCTAAGTAGGTATTACGATTTCCATTTTATAGATAAAGAAATTGAGGCCCAGAGAGGTTAAGTGACTTTCTCATAAGTCAAAAGATGAGGGCACAGCCAGGGCTTGAGAAATCTAGAGAGTAGCCCGAAGTTGAGGATAACCTTAAAAATAAGAAATCTTATTCCTCATTTCATGAGGCAGACACAACAGTAGGGGTACTGTGCCTGTCACCTTCCTATCTGCCATCCTTCCACATACATGCACTCTGGCTCTGCCAACTGATATAATGGTACTCCACACAGCTCGTTTTTCTGCCTCCAAGCATTTGTCTGCCTCCTTCTGCTTGGGATTCCTTCCATCCATTCCTGTATGCTGATAAAAATTTATTAATCCTCAAATGTCCCCTCTCCAGTAAGACTTTTTGACTTGCTCAGATTTTTGCGCCTATACCGTCTCTCCAATTTAAGGTAATTTGTATGCATCTTTCTATAGTCAGGTCTTTATCATTGTACTTCTGTAAGCATGTAGCCCAACCAGAGTGAGCTCAATAAATCTTTATCTACCTATTAACACCCCACAAAGTTCAACCACATGGAGGAATTGACATTTATTCAAGTGAGTGATCGTCAATATTTTGTTTTTTAAAAAACAGGTACAAAAATAATTTGTTTTTCTATAGTATTCAGAAATGGGAATAAGAGTTTGGAGAATGCGTTTGGATTTGGTCTAAAAACCAAAAACTTAAAACAGCTCCAAATTGACCACATATACATTTCTTTACATGTAAAAGTGTTCCAAAAGGACCAGCAAATGTCCTTTCTTTCCAAGTGGAGTGCAAGTGGGAGACAGAAGGCTAGAATCCTGCTAGATGTACCTATTTCTCAAGGTTTCAATCACTAGACCTTCAGTGGGTACCCATGTGCCAGAAGTCATAAAGGCTAATGGCAGGTAGAGAAAGAGGAGGGTGAAGTGGAGATGGTTCTTGGAGGATGAGACTGGGACTAATTTGGGCCTGGCAGCTACAAGGTACTATTCTCTATGTTCTAATCCTCTAACATACATTTTATGTGTAAAGAAATAGTGATATAGTATGGAGCAGTTAAAAAGAATAAGGTAAATAAGTGCTCATAATGTAAGGATCTCCTAAAGACTAAGTATAAAAAGCAAGAGACAAACCAATGTGTATAGTATGCTATCATGTGTATTTAAAGGCCAGGGGTTGGGGGAGGGAATAGATAATATGCTTACAGATGGGTTATCTAACTCAAGAGATAACAGTGGTTCCTTCTTGGAAAGGGAACTAGGGAATGGGTTAGAATGAGAAGGGAATATAGTCTTTTTGTATTCTTTGAATTTTTTTACTATGTGCATTTTTTACTTTTCAAAACAACCTAAGGCTTAAAAAAGGAAGACAAAATGCTAAAGAATTAAATCCATCAATTATACTTCTAATCACCAGTGAGGTCTATATTCATTCTAATATACACAGGAAAGCACAGAATATACATCTTAACTAGCTAAAACCAAACTCAGTTTCACATCTCAACACGTCTGCTTTCTTTAATCAATCCTTGGAAATGTTAAATGCTCTGAGCCCCTTCCCACAGTAAGCCCCTTCTTCAAAGCTCTAATGAATTGAAACTTTACAAGAGGGGCTCACAATTTTTCAAAGCTGGTGTGCCAAGCAAGATTCTACTCACTGCCTTCCCTAGGAAGGTATGTGTGGAGTCTAGGGCTGTGGTAATGGCTGCTCTGAGATTACTGTATGAGCTCCTTCAGCAGCAAAGGCTTAGGTCAGAGAAACTACTCAAGAGAAGCATTCCCTCAAGACCAGCATTTCATCATTGGAGCAACTATAAATGGGTGGCTCCAACCATTGCCCTTCTGACCCCTATCAAAATCCTAGACCTACTTCAGGCTGGTAAATATTAACTCACCTGACACCATTAAATCTTCAATTATTTCAGACAGAAGCCTTTATTTAATTTTTAAAAAGAATCGACATTTGAAAGGCAAAACTTTACTAACAGAATTTTAAGAAATCAACCTAAAATTACTAAGGAGAAATCTGATGACTGGTACCTTTGATTCCATGTGTAAAGAAATAGTGATATAGTATGGAGCAGTTAAAAAGAATAAGGTAAATAAGTGCTCATAATGTAAGGATCTCCTAAAGACTAAGTATAAAAAGCAAGAGACAAACCAATGTGTATAGTATGCTATCATGTGTATTTAAAGGCCAGGGGTTGGGGGAGGGAATAGATAATATGCTTACAGATGGGTTATCTAACTCAAGAGATAACAGTGGTTCCTTCTTGGAAAGGGAACTAGGGAATGGGTTAGAATGAGAAGGGAATATAGTCTTTTTGTATTCTTTGAATTTTTTTACTATGTGCATTTTTTACTTTTCAAAACAACCTAAGGCTTAAAAAAGGAAGACAAAATGCTAAAGAATTAAATCCATCAATTATACTTCTAATCACCAGTGAGGTCTATATTCATTCTAATATACACAGGAAAGCACAGAATATACATCTTAACTAGCTAAAACCAAACTCAGTTTCACATCTCAACACGTCTGCTTTCTTTAATCAATCCTTGGAAATGTTAAATGCTCTGAGCCCCTTCCCACAGTAAGCCCCTTCTTCAAAGCTCTAATGAATTGAAACTTTACAAGAGGGGCTCACAATTTTTCAAAGCTGGTGTGCCAAGCAAGATTCTACTCACTGCCTTCCCTAGGAAGGTATGTGTGGAGTCTAGGGCTGTGGTAATGGCTGCTCTGAGATTACTGTATGAGCTCCTTCAGCAGCAAAGGCTTAGGTCAGAGAAACTACTCAAGAGAAGCATTCCCTCAAGACCAGCATTTCATCATTGGAGCAACTATAAATGGGTGGCTCCAACCATTGCCCTTCTGACCCCTATCAAAATCCTAGACCTACTTCAGGCTGGTAAATATTAACTCACCTGACACCATTAAATCTTCAATTATTTCAGACAGAAGCCTTTATTTAATTTTTAAAAAGAATCGACATTTGAAAGGCAAAACTTTACTAACAGAATTTTAAGAAATCAACCTAAAATTACTAAGGAGAAATCTGATGACTGGTACCTTTGATTCCAAACTTGGTTCCATTCCTTTCTTGGCTGGCTTGCTCTAACCTAACTACTACCGAAAATTATTTCTGATGTCTAGCATCTCTCCTTGTTCGGGTAGTAACTGCTGGGCTGGTAAAGAAGCCAGCCATCCCAGTGGCAGGTAAGTTCTCAATCAAGGAGACTGTCCCTGGATCCAAAAGTGTGGCTATTTTCCTCAGGTGCTCAAAACAGTGACAGTACTAATTCTACCACTCACCAATTCATCATTAGTTTATTAGTTTCTACAGTAAAAGAACAATCCCAAAAATATATAGAAAGGAGGTATGGGGTAGAAGTAGGGGAACACCCACCAATGCCAACAACACAACAAAAAACTACTGGCAGCACCTTCTAATCACAAGTCCTATAAGGAGAGAATGATGAATGGAAAATTAACTTGTCCTTGTGATAAAGATAAGAACATCTGAAAATCTTTATATAGCTTATTACTGATAGCCTACAGTCTCTTACCAGTGAGAGAGAAGTGTCTTCTAAAATAAGTTCTTCAAGTTTAAGTGCAATTAGATGTGTTTCAAGCCCTTTAATATGATCCACAACATTAGAAATTAAAGTCTGAAGCCCAGTCACGTAGTCTTGGAAACCGGTAAGGACAGGTGGCTGTAAAAAAAGATTTTTAAAAATCCAAAAGATTATCAAACATATTTCCCATACTTGCATCAAATAAGCTATACTAACTTCATGCTATAGCAATACCTAATGCTAGTAACAAGAACACAGATGGACAGTTTTGAATATTGACAGTATCTCAAACCAAGGTTAAATTTAACTGCCACCAAATAATGCTAACTAAGCAACAATGACTTAAGCTTTTTTTTTTTAATGAAGTTTTATTTCACGCTGGAGAACTGGAGATGAAAAATGAATAGAAAGTAATCTCAGTTGGTCATTACTCAACTTGAGGCTGGGAATCTCCTGTAACAATTCATAAAGAAGAATCAAGACTTCCATTTCTTCTCTTCATGTTTTTCAGATTTCCTCTAATGTTAATAACAGAGTGGAATATCCTAAGTTCTAATGAAACAATGGTTGAGAACAGCCAAAAAATTATGAAAAAAGAGTAATTAAGGGGAACTTGCTCTAATAGGTATTAGAGTATATTCTGAAGTCCCATTAAATCTAGATGGTATTGGTTAATAAGTAAAGTGACTAAGAGTGAAAGAAAACAAATCCCAAGGCAGACTGAGGAATATAGGGGAATTTAAATAGTGACATTTCAAAACCATGGTTTCAAGTGGATGGATGGTATTGAGACAACTAGGTAGATATTTGGAAATATAAGATAAATAAAAATGTAAATACCAAAATATATTCCAGATAGATTAAATACTTAAATTTTTAAAAATCCATCAAAGCATCAGAAGAAAGTTTAGGTAATAACTTCTGCAATCATAAATTTTAAAAAAAGACTTTCTAAACATTTTATTAAGCTAGGAATCATTTTTCTTTTAAATCTTGCTTTTAAAAACATTATGTTGCGAAGCTCTGGAGAAAGGGGAACCCTCCTACATTCACAGAACCCAAGAATGGACTAACAGTTACCAAAGGGAAAGGGTCTGGGGAGGATGGGTGGGAAGGGAGGGATAAGGGGGAAGGGGGGAAGAAAGGGGGCATTATGATTAGCATGTATAAGTGGGGGGAGGCACAGGGAGGGCTTTGCAACACAGAGAAGACAAGTAATGATTCTACAGCATCTTACTACGCTGATGGACAGTGACTATAATGGGGTTTGCGGGGGTGACTTGGTGAAGGGGAAAGTCTAGTAAACATAATGTTCCTCATGTAATTGTAGATTAATGATACCAAAAAACCAAAAAAAACACTATTATGTTGGCAAAAAAACGACTCAAGTTAAAAGCAAATAACTGAAAAATTGCATGATACAGGATACAGGATTTAATAATACAATTATGTTTAAGAGCTCAATAGCTCAAAACATGTCAATAGGAAAAACATTACTACTGCAATAGAAAACTTGGGCAAAGAAAGGAGGAGAAAAAACAGCAAAGAAATCCCAGCAACATATGATACAGGTTAAAAAAATATGTAAACACAAGAAACCTGGCTAATCAACTAGTAAGGCTAGTTTTTCACTCAAGAAGTCTTCTTTGAGGGGATTAAAGGGCATTATGATTAACACATAATGTAGGGGGGTCGCAGAGAAAGCAGTATAGCACAGAGAAGACAAGTAGTGACTCTACAGCATCTTACTATGTTGATGGACAGTGACTGCAATGGGGTGTGTGGGGGGGACTTGATAATATGGGTGAATGTAGTAACCACAATGTTGCTCATGTGAAACCTTCATAAGATTACAATATCAATGATACCTTAATAAAAAATTTTTAAAAAGTTGTCTTTGAAGGTTCAACATGAATGGGATTTTTAAAAAACAATTGGAAAAAAAGGAATACCAATGTTTGCCTATCAGATGGGTAAAGATAATAGACACAACAGTTGGGGAATGCAAAAATATACAGACATAGTAATTTCAGATTTAAAAGATATTCTAAGAAAATCATATTATAATTTCATCTTTGTGTATCTGTCCATATTTTATTAGCACTACTTGTAAATAAAAAATTAGAATCAACAAAATATTTGTCAACTGAATTAAATGGTATAATTATTGGCATATCACTATTAAAAGTAATGAAATACATCTGTATTTACTGAAACAAAGGGATGTCTAAGATACCCTGTTAAGTGAAAACAAAAAAATAGGCAAGAGGCAGAACCTTCTAGAGGATGATTCTGATTTGTCTGCAGTGGTTATCACTTTCAGAGGAGTATAAATGATCTTCACTTTATTCACACCTTTAGATTACTTTGATACTGGCCTTAGTATTGGAAATTAGAAAAGCAACAGCTACAAAACCCCCCACAAAGTTCAAATACCAAAAGGCTATTTGATAGGTTTTAGAAGTGTAGGCTTCCGTTAAAAGAGAGAGTAACAGAGAAAGTCTGATCTACACTTTCAAACTTTGCACTCATCTGTTAAATTATATTGAATAAAATGGAGAGAAGTTTCTTTCATTTAGCCCCTCATTCAAATCTAAGTACCCTTTGTTTTTGAATGAATGGTAACACCTAGCACTGTGTCAGATCTAAAGAATTCCTGAATTGTTACTGAATTGTGCAGAAATCAGTAATACTACTAAAACCATAAACGTTTGAAAATGACAATGGTTACTATATTGCTATAGTGAATAAAAATCTATTAACAGTGATAGGATAAATTCCAGTATTAATAAAACAACATACAGAATGAATCCTAAGTAACTTTCCTTATTAAAAGGATACACATGTTAATGTTTTACACATTTGAAACTTAATGAAGATGGGTGGAAATCCAAAATCGAATACAGAAATAAATGAACTTTATTTAGCTAATAATATAATCTGTTTTTAATTCCAGTGCTTTTAGAGTACCTCAAGTGTCTATATTTCCTGTAACATATTGTAAGTACAAAAAAAACTGCAAAAAATTGGGTTATTGGAACTAGTAGTTAAACTGATGTACTAATTCCAAAACTATTTAGTATTTATTGTAAAACAGCAAAAGAATAAATACACTGATGCTGTTGGGAACCAGGGGTCTCACATTATAAAAAGGAAGCTACAAATATGGAATGAGGGAAGGAACAGAAAGAACAACACTGTGATGCTGGACAGGAACTGGAAGTGTATCAGTAAGAATTATTTAAACTCTTCATGTGTGGTTGTGTGTGTACATACATTTCCTGTCTCTCTCCACTAATATAAACTAGAAGCACTGAAACCCCCATGGCAGCTAGTACATCTCACACCTATTTAGATCTTGGTTTTCAAATACCATTCCCCATAAAGAAACCAGGCCTCCTTGAAAAAAGTGTCTCATATCAGTTCAATGGGAAAGTACAAAGTGCTTGGAACTCTCTTGCTGTTCCAGAAAGCAAGGGCTCAAAAACTGATAAAGACATGTTCAAGGACAGAAAGCAGCTTAGAGTATCAGCCAAATTTGAGTATCCAAAAGAAAATGATGATAATGGATTATAAATTTTTAAAAGAATAAGTCCATAGTGATATTCAAATAGTAGTATCAAAACACACACACACACACACACACACACACACACACACACTCACACACACACACACACACACGAAGGAGTGGGAGAGCTCTATTTTACGGAAGCCAGCTAATAAATGATAAAGGATCGACAATTTTTTTTAAAGCACCATTGTGCAACCCTGATGTAACAGGTGATTTATCAGGTTAGATGAACCATAGATGATAAAACCAATGGGTGGAAGGCTGGTAGCAAATAGGACATTCACAATCTCAAAGCATCATCCCACAGATTACTTATAACAGGGGGATGGATTCCTTACAATGAAGAAATTCAGTAGACACTTCCTTTATCAAATAATTAAATCTGAAATCATCAGTAATGTGACATAATGTAGTGCCTCCTGTTTTAATCTGCTAAAAAGGACAAAGCATCTATGTTTAACCTAAACCTAAACAAATAGCCAAAACCAGATTATGGGACATTCTACCAAAAGCCTAGCTAGGCTCTTTAACAATAAAGACAAAACAAAAGGCTAAGGAAGTGTTCTAGATTAAAAGATGTTAAAGAGAGATAATAACTAAAAGCCATGTCAAATGCTTTGTAGGATTCTAATATTTTGAAAAAGGCTATAAAAGACATAATTGGAATAACTGGAAATCTGAGTATGGATGTTATATTATTATAGCAATATTAAATTTCTTGAGTATTATGATTTTGTGGGAGTCTGCTCTTGTTCTATCCTGGTGTGTTGAGTATCAAGAAGTCTATACTTTTCTTTTACATAGTTCAACAAATGAGGTGGGGGAGGTGAGAGAGAGGGAATGCAAAAGTGGCAAAGTGTTAACAAGTGTTAAATTTAGGTAAGGATATCGGAGTGTCATACTAGTCTTTTGGCTTTTCTGTAGGTATGTAATTTTTTTAAAAGCTGGGGAGAAAAAAAACAAACGTATGTAGGATCCTAAAGTCTCTTACAACAGCAGGAAAACAGTGAAAAGAAAAATCAGCATGTGGCCAGGTTGTTACTTGTGTTTTCTCTCCTATTACCATGATGATGCTGGTTTCTTTTTTCTTCTTTTTCTTTTTCTGTAAGTTTAATTTGTATGGTCGCAGGACACTCTCACAGTAACTGGACACCCAAAGGATAATGGAAATAGTCTGAAAGATGAAATATTGAAAATTCATCAATAAGGATTACACTTAAGATGTCTATCATGAGCATTTAAAGGCTATGGATTAAACAAAGAAATTCTAACAGTCCTTCTATGCAAATCCCTTCAATTTCTCCTATTAACTCTCGACTCTAATCACCACATTGAACCAAGCCTTCATCATCTCCAGGTTAGAATATTGGGATAACTTTCATCTTTATCCTTTCCTCTGGCTTTCCCACCTCTAAAACCCATCCTCCACTCAGAAATGGAGATCTATTAACATCCTTCTCACTCAAGTGGGGCACAGAATACAAAGGCTCTTTACAATATGCCTCTCCCCACCCACCTCTCCAACCAGTTAAGACACTGCCTTACCTGCAAACCTTAACAGAAATATACATAGAGAAATCCCCCAAGTTAGTCAGCACATAGCCTTCTTTGCATTAAGTTAGGTGTTTACATGTCTCCTCCTATGCTAAGGTGTGTGTATGTACACAAACAAGCAATTATCATTCATTTGTTCCATGTCTTAGACCTTAAAACATTACCAGTCACCTTAAAACAGAACAGGGAATACTGCCTTCAGGAAACTCTCAGACTAGTAGGGGGAGAAAGGTAAAATCTATCACAGAAAGGTAACGGGTTATAAGTGTTTGCAAGCTGCCTTCTCTCTGGCTAAAAAAGAAGAGAGACTTTTGCTACATCAGCTCTTGTATTCTCCTTCATAATGCAGAACTTAGTAATTACTGAATAGCAAAAACAATTGAAAGAAGCCAGAGGAATTAACTTAAAATATGTAACAGTTGAGCCAGAAGGGAGAATGGACAGAAAAGAGCTAGATTCACACTGAATCTATGGAATCTTTAGAGACAGGTAGAGCAAATTTCAAGATTTACCTAAGAAGTATGAATGAAATTTTCTTGATATTCTTGGAAGGAGCTGGCTCAGAAACTGCTTTTCAATTAATACAAGGCAGGGGTATGGAATTAAATTATAAGTAAAAAGTGTCTGTTCCCTGTTAATTTTTGAAAAATTAATCCTGCATTCAATTAAGGAAAATCTAGTTTTTCAGGAAAAGAACAAAAGCATACCTCAACAAAGAAGACTAGATTTTCTAAAAGAGTAGGATGTGTTTTCAAGTTACCATCTTTAACTTCTAAGAGGTCACCTTTACATTTACTGAAAACATCTGAAAAGAGAAAAAAATTATGGTTTTATTCAGCTTCTGTTTCAATGCTATTTTTAGGAACATAATGTACAATCTAATAAAGAATAAGCACATAAAAAAGCTTAATCCAGAAAGTTCTTCCCCCACAATGAACCAAGCAAGAAAGAAAGGGTATCTATTTTAAGATCTTTAAAAAGTCATGTGACTACTGCTCTATTGTCTTCAAAAAATATAAAAGGTGGCCTTATGAATTATATATTATAGAGTCTAAACACCAGCTAAGCCTTTCCACAAATAGGCCAATGGCACAATAAAATTAAGACTTCAAGTGAATGATTTAGAAGAACTTGTGCCATAATAGATTTAAAACACCAAAAGTATACATGATAGAAATTACCTTCATAACAAATACCATGTTTTATTGTAACAATCCTGGTCATTTTTTAATTCTTAGTCTTCATTTGAGCAATAACATAAAATACCATTTAGGCTCTTGAAAAGAAAGGTCCTTACAGATTTAAAATGCTTACATGTATCCTTTTACCAAACAATTCCATTTCTAGGAATTTAATCCCAAGGAAATGGGCAAATACCCAAATGCTGTGTCCTAAGGTGCTCACTTCAGCATTCTTATAAATTTGTTATTATAAATGCAGCTATAAATAACTCAAGTGCATAATATATAATCTGGGGGAGTACATATATACATTTGGTACTCTGGTACACTATGGAATATTATGCAGCCACCAAAACAAACGGGGTGTACATGTAACTGACATGGTAAGTTGTCCAAGACAACAAAACATTAAAGTCAGAAAAGCGTGTATTATACTTTCCATATGTTAAAAAAACCACTACTATGTATTTCCATATACACATGTCTAACTGTTTAGGTCCTATCTAGGAGTATAGACTCCAAAATGTCAACAGTACTTATTTTCTTCTAGCGGAACAGAGCTAGAAAAGGGGAAAGATCATACCTACTTCTGTGCTGTTTTATAATAAGTATCTAATATTTTATAACAAAATGTTTTAAAATCAAATGTCTTTAAAAAATACCAAAAGTATGCATTATTACTTTCAAATGCTCTTGCAAATTTCTATTTAAAAAAATGAGCTACTATCAGATAATCAGATACAATGTAGGCAACCATAGTAAGAATGCTTACCTTTTAACTGTTCTAGTAAAGACTTAAGACTATTCTCTACTCGCTCCTGGATCTCCACTGTATCCTCTAAAATTGAAAAGCAAAAGCAATGAAAAACTTTCAATTCAGTTTTTTAGGAAGATAAAGAAGCAAGATCAGATCAACACCTGCAACCAATTAACAGGCAAGGATATTTTCTTTTCTCTTAAGACCACAGGCATTGATGGACAGTGACTGCAATGGGGTATGGGTGAGGGACTCAATAATATGGGTGAATGTAGTAAACACATTGTTTTTCATGTGAAACCTTCTTAAGAGTGTATATCAATAATACCTTAATGAAAAAAAAGAAAAAAAATCTCATTCACATAATACAAATCACACTCATCAGCACCAGGACAGTTTACAATCATCATGACAACCCCTGGAAGAGACCTAATAAGGAGAGGCATCCCTCTTCTAGGAATCTCCCCAGAAAAATCTTAACTCTTCTGCCCCCTACTTTATGTACTCCTTAGACTTCTAAAAAAAAGACCATAGGCATCAAATTCCATTTTTGAGAGAGAAAAATGAAGGAAAGGAAAAGGCAAATGAAGGAGAAAAGGAAGAGAAAGGCACTGATTACCTTTCTGCCAAAATTACTACCTAAAATTCTTTAGGACTTGAAACCTATGTGCTTCAAATACACTAAATACCAGGATCAACAACTTATGATTTGCGGGGGGAAACATTTTTAAGGATATTTGTGTGATCTTCACTGCATTAGAAAAAAAGTCTTCTCCACAAAGTTCAGGGCTTCCTTTTTTAAGAACTCAACCTAAAATCCAACATTATTTTAACAAATCGGAGGTTTCTTCAACTTTTGGACCTAATAAGTGGTTTTAAATATGGAAAGGACTTAAGTTTCTAAAACATTACTTTGGATATTAAACCAGACATTTCAAGAACAGCTTCTCTCTCTCCCAAATTTTTCCTAATATGTGAGGTTATAAATATTTCATTGCATTTATGAAGTTTTCCATGATGAAGACCTGGCAATACACTCATGCAAGGGTATACTTACCTAAGCCATTGGCGTCCAGCTCATGAATATCACTAACAAGATAAAAAGAACTGGTCTGACACTGAGAACAGCCAGAATGAAAGAATCCAGCCATTCTCGTAGGTACAGGACCAAGGAAAGGATACTGAAAAAGAAAGACAAAAAAGTTATGTCCTTTAGCTCTATCTAAATTTAGACAAAATAAGAAAATAAGGGACTATAAACACTGGAAAAAAATCTCTCAGTGATTAAGTTACAAACCATTGATCAACAAAGTATTAATAACTAAATCATTATGGTGAAAACAGAAACCCCATATTAATTTGTTGACAGTTACTAAGAATTTACCATTACCAAAAAAATAAAAAATAAAGGCGCTTTTGGTTTTCCCCTGAGAAGTCTCTATAATTCCCCACATCTAAAAAAAATATTTATCTTCTTCCTATGGATGCCATAAACTGGGACAAAATACTGTTCTTTAGTATTCACCAATCCCAAATTCTTACTTTTAAAAAGACAGACAGCAATAGCTTACTGCAGCTTTGATGATAAATACATACTGATGATACCTGAATTTCCTTCTCAATAAATCGCTTTCCTGTCTCCATGGCCACCTCCAGCTGTTGAAGGAGCAAACGAAGAATGTCAATCCGGGAAGATACACCATTCTCAGTGGTCTTCTCTGAGTTCTTTGGCTCCACAGAGTGGTTAAGACTTGGAAGTCCACTGACAAGCCTCAGTGTTAAGGAACGGATTCTTAACCACACGGTCTCCTCCTCCAAGGAAAGTTTCTTATGTTCTTCAGAAACATCCCTTAAAAAGAAACATCCAAAACCATCCATTTTATTCAAATTTGCCTTTACATCTTTCAAAGTTCACTTTCATCAGGCAAGATGTCTGAATGGTCCCAGCATTCATTTACTAGCTGAATGATCTTGGACAAACCAAAATCATCCAAGTCCCCATTTCAGTATGCATAAAATGGGAATGATAGCCTATGTAATGGGTCATCTTCCCCTTAACACTATTTTTCTGATAAAATATTTATCATGTATATTTTTGGCAAAATACATATATAAAAAATTCAAATGACAGTAAAGTAAAAAAACAGAAGGAAAATGTTCCCTGATAACCAAACACCCACAATACTAACAAGCCTGATATCGAACCTTTCAGATTTTTGCAATACAGATGTACAAAAATGCATCTAAAAATTATGATGTATTTTAAACAAGTAAAATGGGCTCACAATATTTCTACTATTTTTCCAAGTGCATCTTTTTTATGACAGTGTATGCAGAAAAGAGTTAACACAAGCAAGCCTGAGGCAATTATCTTTAGGAAGGCATGCTTACAAAATTGGCCCCTGCCTCATGTCTGGGATCTTGGCACTCCAACCATTCTCTAAATAATAAGGGTGGCTCACTGTACCTGGACTGTTTGTACGGACCATATGGTTTATGATGAATACCTGCTTTCCTTCTGGGAGTATGGAATGTTGATGCAGGTTAGACAGAGGTTATCCATGTAACTACCCGATAAAAGATTTTGTGCACCAAATCTCTAATGGGTGAAACACTGCACACATCTTAACTGCATTTTTCACTGCTAGGAAAAGCAGCACACTTGGCATGTCCCCTCACAGGAGGGAGAGAACACTGAAAGTCTGTGCATAGAGTTCTCCAGATTCCACCTGTGTCTTTTTCCCTTGCTGATCCTGTCATGTATCCTTTCGTTACTATAAACCTTAGCTGTGAGTTCAACTATATATTGACTCCTTTTGAGTCTCAAAGCACTGAATGCAGTCTTGGCAATCCCCAAATCACAGTACATTCAGAACTCATATACATATTTCTGCATGTTTGAGGACTTATTTCCTTAGGTTCCACTTTCCCAGAAGCAGATCTGATGAACTGAATGGTATAGGGCATTCTAAATCTTGATATATACACTAAAATTCCCTATAGGAAGATTATATAGATTTTACCCCTATGTAAATACATGACAACCATTTTCCCCACAATCTTGCTGAGTGCAAGTATTAATTGTTTTTATATTTGTTCAAAACACTGAAAAAAACTATCAGGTGAATCAGGTGAATTTTTTTGAACTACCTGTCAAGGAGTTTGCCCAATTTGTTTTTTAGTTATCCTCTTACTGATTTATTAAGAATTCTCTTTATATATAAAGGACATTAATACATGAATAAATTTGCCAATTTACCACATGCCCTTATAAATTAACAAGTTCACTTCTATATAGAAGGCTAACACAAAGATCATATCTTCTGTTTCCATATTTGATATAATGCCAAGATGGACTTTCTCCCCAACCATTTAAAAATATACATTTTCTTTTAGAATTTCTAAGGAATTTTAGCATATAATCCTTTAGACCATCTGGAATCTGTTCTCATGTCTATTGTGAAGGAAGATCTAATTTTTATATTAGCAGGTAATTCCAACACAGGGGTGAGATCTATTTTCTTCCTTTGGCTTACTTATTATCTTCTGATCCCTACAACAAACATGTTATGTTTGTGGAAAAAGATTTTTAAAAAACTCTCAGAGTCATCCTAATTCTTTAAAAGAAAACTGCTCAGGGTTAAATTCCAGTTACCTGTCTTTTGGATCCCAGCTAAAGAAAACATTTAAGTCTCTGTTGTCTCGCAAGGCTTCCCATGGAATGTCATCTTCTTCTGGCTGAAGATTCATTGACTTTATACTTTCTGCTAAGCTGGTTGATCTGTGATACAGAAAATTTATTTATTTATTATTTCAATAGTAGAACAGCCATGAAAATACATAAGCCAGGACTTTGCTTTACTGAAAAGGAAGGGAAAGAAGAAGGAAGGGAGGAAGAATTTCCTATTAAGTAGTAAACGCTCATATAAGGTGACATAGAACCAAGCACAAAGCATGCTGCCTGCTACATAGCAAAAGAAAGGCATCTGGAAGCCCTACCAAAATAAAGTATTTCAGCATTAATCACTGAAATCCTATGTATACAGGGTAAGGGAACCTTGTAAACACCTTATGGACCTGGGTGACAAGAATGGCCTAGCTGGCTTCTGTATGGAACCTGAGATGGTGCTGGCAGTCCTCTATCACTCCCCATGATATGCACCAGGTACCCCTTTTTTTCCCATTCCCCCCACTTGCTCTGTTTTTTCCGTTTTTCCTTCTCTTAAGCCTGCTAATGTCACCCATGAATCCATTAATGGCTCCCAGCATCTAATCTAATATCTCAGTTCCCTTTTAGCTCTTAGGCAATACTTACATATTTGCTTCAAGTAGAAGGTCTAACAACATCCGTTCAGTACGGACTTGTGCAAAATGAAGAGAATTATTCAGCCTGTTCCTAAACGCGATAAACTCTGGGATCTTCTCAAATGCACCATATTTGTAAGCTTGAATAATATATTCTGAGGTCTGGGAAGGAAAGACATTACCTTGGTATAAATATTTCACAAGTCAGGCAGCAAAGGCAAACCTTGCCAGCCAAAACAAAACAAAGCACTCAAACTAAAATTAAGTAAGATGTTGAATCTAATCTTTAAACGTCTTGGTCACCAAGTAGACTACAGCTTTTAAAAACATTATTTTTCTTTTTTATTATACTGTCTTATTTACTAATATCAAATGTCTTCTTTACTAATATTACTAATAATAAAACCCAGTTGCTGCTACCACCACATAGACTTTCTCTAAGCAGTTATATCTTTCAATTCAACAGGACCGGAGGTTTTGTTATACCACATCAGTCAAAAATTTGATTAGTGCCATTGTGGAAGGGATATTACTCCATGTTTTTCTGCACCTAAGAAACTCTGTTTTATACAAAGGTTCCAGAAACATAAGATAATATTTACCCCACCACCACCCCAAAAGAGAATAACTCTCCTTCAGAAAAAGGCTTCTCATTGGTTTTATTTCTGAATACTGTTATCACAAACATAGGGCATATGTGCATTACATCAGGATAGAAGACAACAAATAGAAGACCTATAAAAATTCACGTCATAATCCTTGCTGAGGGCAGACAGACTTCAAGAACCAGATTTCTTGTCCATCCAAACTACCTAAGACCTCTGCTGGAAAAGTCCATAAGTAATTAAGTGACGGGAACACTCACCACATGCGCTTTAATTTTAGATTAATACATATATACAGATGAAACACTGTGAACAGAGGCAAGATAAAGAATTCTCAACAGAAATTCTGGCACCATAGAAGAAAATCTCAGGAAAGAACAGTTCATGGGTATGGGCCTATGTCATCAAGATCAGAAGTCAGGAGGGCACCCTTTCAGGACAAGGAAAAAGTATTAAGCTCACAGCTGATGTCTGCCCCAAGGACTCTTTCTAGAAAGGCCAGTCTTTTTGCACAACCTCAGTCAGCTCTGCCCCCATCTCCATTATGACGGAATAATTTGCCCAGTAGGAAAATAGGCCAATAGTCAACAACATACCCTCTGATACACAGCCTCGCAGGGTTCATTTCAGGCCGCGGGATTGCGCCACGGGCGCTAATTCAACTGCATTCGATGCGGCTTTTAAACCCCCATGGGACACCTCGGCGAGCTGTTTGCCTGCAGTATCTGGAGAAATTAAAGACGGACGGACACAAGAAAATTAAAAAGATTACTTGTGATCCTGCAGGTTTAAAGAAGGACTATCTGAAAAAGCTCAAGTGTACCTTCTAGCTTGATTAAAGGACAGTGATACGCCCCTTCAAGAAGAGGCCAGAATACTCTCTAAACACACATGCCTGTCTGATGGCCTCTTGACTTGGAAAACACAGCAAGGTTTACCATCAGCCCTTGTGATAGGGACTTACAGCTTGAAAATACAGCTGGTTAGGAACATATGAGCCAGCAATTAATTAGGATAAAAACATATGACTTTGGGGACTCCAATCAAATTTATCAATTACAGTTCCAAAATATGCTGATTAAAAGAAAGAACCTAGTCTTACTAAGTGTACAGACAATTGTAAATTCTAAGTGGTTCATGGAATTCCACCTTAGATAAACGGCAACAGCTTTAAAAAGAAAAAATTAGGGGCCACAAAGAGGGAATGCTGTCCTTTAACAAACCAAGATGGTGACTAGTTCTCTGGCTTGTCTTTTTTAAGGTAGTCCTCCTTTAACAGTGCAGTAAAGTATGACTGCAGAGCTAGAAAAGGGCCTGGGCAGCTACCAAGAGGACAAAGACTGAGCAAGTACTACAATTTGAAAAAAGAACCCTCTATATGGACTGCAGGCAAAACTGAAAGCCACGGGCACTTTCAAAACTTTTGAATACCAGAGAATGTTGTCCGTACCTATTGCTACTCATTTATGCACCAATGAGGCTACTTATTAGATCCCATATGGATTCCTGAAATGAACCCTGGTCACTGTAAAAATTAGAAAAGTATATGGACATCAAATCCTGAAAAATGACCTTCACTTTTAAAGGGAAATTTTGTTAAAGTACAAACATGTAAGTAACTTTCAGAGATAGAAAAATCTAGCTTTAATTCTCATACTGTAAAAATCTATTCCAAAGTAAGATGACAGCAGACAATGACGACCTTTCCAGAAAGAAAACTCCTATGTAGACCTTCCAGATATAACTCTCAGTCTCCCAGCACAAAAGCCTTAAAAAGCAGAACACTGAATTTTCCATTTCAGGAGTAAAAGTGTTCTTTCAAAGAGCTGGTTGGAAATTGAAATAAATCAGTTGCTCAAGAAAAAAACCATCTGGGGATCTCAAAACTACCAAGAATAAAAGATGTAGAGCACAGAGCTTTAGCTTTCCAGAGAGTTATTTCTATTACTATCAGAAGGTTTAACACCTACAGTACAACACTACAATTGTGATCTTTCTTAGTTTCAAATTCCTATAGGAAACTGTCCACACTACAGTCTCCATTTTCATATTCTGGGACTAGGGCTATTATGGTTTTAAGGTTTCAGGTGCGTTTTCCTTGCGCTGTGTTTTGTTTCTGCCTCCAGGACCACCCTTTCCCCGCCCCCTGCCAAAGATTATCTACTTTAATATAATTAAGTAAGATCTGTCTCCTTCACAGTAATAAAAATATCAAGCAGAGAATTCTAGTCCCAGATCAATAAAATGTTATAATTTCATCAGAAGCAACATCATATACATTCAGATGAATTAATCAACCCTGCCACACACAACTATTAGCAAAATATCAAACAGTGATACAAAAGCCACTGAGAACAACATGCCCTCCTCAAATCACTCATGGTGATCTCCTTTCCCGATTACAATTTTGTTTGTTTTGGGGGTGGGGG